GCAGAGAGAGAGAGAGAGAGAGAGGAGGGGGGGAGGGCGCAAGGCAACGGCGGGAAGAGAAATAGCGGAGACGTTCTCAATGTCGGGACCCCATAGACATGACTTTAATTCCGGAGAAGAAGAGCGACGTCTTCTAGTAAAATCCCTGCCGCCGCAGCAACAAGCTCCGCCGCGTTTTTGAATAGCACGCATAATACCGTTCGTCTTTGAGTCTTCTTTTTTAAATTGTCCGCGGTAAAATCGCGAACAAAAGGAGGTTGGAGGGAAGTTACGTTATTACGTTTCTCGCGTGGATCCTATGGCGGAGCTAGGCGCCGCTCCGTAACGGGTAAAAAGATACTTCATCGTACGGTGTACACGTATATATATATACTGTGGTACGGAACACGTAGCAGAACACAGTAGCTACGTGAACAACTATCGATCTCCGAAGAAATAATTCACCGGTGGTCGGACAAGGCTTAATTATCCGCTTTTTCCCTTATTACTCGCTGTCGTCGCGCTACCTCGATTTATGGCAGTCCCGATAAAGTCAACGGCTCTGCATTAACATTACGTAATAATACTCGTACTATCTCCCGTCGGGTGGAAAATAAAACGAACGGGGCGAAAATAAAAGGGGAGAGAGAAAGAGAGAGGGGGGGCGGGGGGCCACTCTGAGCATTTTCTACGCTCCAACGGTTGAGTAATGGGCGAAAAGAGCGAGGGGAAAAAAAAAGAGAAGAAAAGAAAAGACGCGCAGGAAAGGAGGAGGAAGGGGAGTACAAATCGGCCGTGAAATCCAAGATTTAACCCCATCTTGCCGCGCAAGAGGCGACGAAATCAAGCCCCTCACCGGCTCCGTGATATGATAAACACCGAAAATGACAGCAGCCATCCCGCGTCTTCCCCTTCCATCTTCTTTGCCTTCCATCCATTCGCTCTCTCTCTTTCCCTTTTCTCGCTCGTCTTCCCTGGGCTCTCTTCGAGTTAATCACGTCAGGCAGGCAGACCCTCTGATTAAAACGGGGCCTCCATCCCTTCTTATTATTATTGTTATTAGAGGAAGTGAGTGCAGGGCACTCGGGGAATCGCGTCGGGATAGACGGCTCCTCTGTGTATACGTGCCTCGTATAGATACACCAACGTGTAGAAAAGCGTACGTATATATATATATATTACGTTTTTGCAATCCCCCTGCAATCCCCCTTCTCCTAATCGTCCGAATTTTCGAGATTATTAAATGGCTGACGAGACTGCGAATGAATCTTGTTTCGTCCGTTCCTTAATTAACTTTCCTCGCCGCGCTATCAATCGCCCCAACAAATATATATATATATCGGCCCCTCTTTCCACGCCTTCCACGTCTTTTCGAGGTTGGAGACAACGGGACGGGCGATTTCGTGATTTATTTCTAACGTTAACTGCTCTCGTCCCTGCCCTCCTCGCCTCTCGTCGATAATTCGAAACGAAATTGAAAGAACACTTCGGTTCGAATACCAAATGTATTAAAAGCGTGCGTAATCGTGTATCCGTCTTCTCGGTTGCAACACCGTCCCCTCGAAGGAACAGTTGGTTATCGATATTGCAGATAAAAATCTGCAGGGAAGGAATTCAGAACCGGTTGCAACGAGACAACCTTAGCGGCAAATTATACACGCCGTGTAGCTCGCGCGTATCGCGTTGCCTATACTTACATCGACAATTAATGTTACCTGCATTCTTACGCATCCGCGTATCATTATTTGCGAAAACTTCCCTGTTTTCGTTCGTATCTCTTCCAATTCTACAAACACTTTTTTTTTTCTTTTCCTTTCCTTCTTGCTTTATCGCTGAAATTCCTCGTTTACGATTTCGAACGTTTGCAATTAAAATTCCTCTTTTTCGGTACCTCCGCACCGTTCCTTTTATCGTTGGAATTCTATTTTGGTATTTCTGTGTTGTTGCTTATTTCTGGAATTCCTTCCTTTCCTCGCTCGCTTTTTCTCCTTCAAGAATTTCCCCTTTAGCATGGCGCTTTCCCCTTAGACGGCAGCCCAGAGTGGATTCCGAATATGGAAATTGTTCCCGCGGAAACTCCAAGAATAACAGTTTATTCTCCGCCATTAATCCGAATCCGCCTCGAATTTCACGACGATCGAGAGACAATCGAGCGCCATCAACAGAGTCTCTAAACTCTCTTGACACGACGAACGAGCTTTGCATGCTGGAACTCGTGAAAATTAACGAAATCGTGTCCTTCCTATGAGAAATATCCATCTCTCCTCTAAATCCCTCGATGAACCGCTCAATTCGGTGAAACGCGAAAGTCCATCGAACAAATGGAAAACGATGGACTCGAAAAATAACTGCACGATCGAATCGGCGATCGAACGATGATCAACGGGTGGGGCGATCTATCCTCGAGGCGGGCCGATTATGCTAATGAAGCCGGCGGCAATAAGTAACGAATGGAACGATCGTAAATCCTTGCGAACACGCGCGAGTTGGCGTGCGACGACAGTAGCAGTAGCGTAACCGACAGCAGTACACGGTTTCCACTTCTTCGTATATGTACACACACACACACACACACACACACACACACACACACACACACACACACACACACACACACACACACACACACACTACTACTACA